TTCATTCGTTTTAATACTCGTAAAATTGAGTTAGATAGTATGTGACGTTGCCGTAAAAATCGTTTTAAACTGACGTTTCAAATTTATGGTCTTCGATTTTCGTAATTATAGTGTATACAAATTGTTTTAAAATCACTTTAAAGCCGTGCCCACTCATTTTACTGTTTCGCGTAAATTAATTATTTTCACGATTACACAAGGTCGGGCAAGTTAATGATTTTTTTCAACTCTGTTAAATTAAATTAAATTTAAATTTGAATAAAGCTAATAGTTAAAAGTCGAGTCAAAACAAAGTCTATCAATTGAACTAATTTAGAAGTTGACTTAAGTATACTAAAGTAAAGATAATTAAAAAAAAAAAAAATGTAAGTCGACGGTTTTTTTTTATTTTTTTATTTTTATCTATTATCCGAGATTGACATTCAAGCGTACAAGACGCGAACAGATCGTCTGTGAACGAAGACGCCACAAAATCCCACCCCCTCTCCCCCCCGTGAAAACATACAATAAACGGCGCCGTCTTCGATTCGACGAAACAATATGGCCTATTAGGACCGGACCGGAGCACTCGCGGCGCACACGCGTGAGCGCATTAATTGTTCTAAATGACGTAACGTCGTAAAAACGGAAGATGGGCCGCGCGCGTTACACGCAAAAACGTCCCGCGGGCGCTTGTCCGGTATTACGTGCGCACCACGGTATAGCGACTTTCTATTATAATAATAATAATAATATTATTGTTGTTGTTATCACGAAAAACCGAATTCGATTTACGTAACAATTTTTCCTCCCGCTGCACCCGCGCACACCGAAATCAACGCTTTGTGCGCGGACGCCACACCGGAATGCCATTGTTATGGTACGCGCGGGCATATTTTCGGAAATCGCGATCAGACTGCAGTTTTTAAACTGCGGTTGTTGTTTTTTTTTTTGTTACAAAACAAAAACTCGTATCGTCCGACACGGTATGATGCGCAGGAACGGAAATAGAAACAGACGCGGACAACGAAAACTCGTTATGCGCCGATTTTGTTGATTTTCGAATTTCAACGTCCCCGTACGGGCGCCAATGCCCTGTGCTCGTTTCGAATAACCGATTTGGAGACATCAGTCCCGGAATAATCGAACAGATGGTTTTGAAATGTTGCTTTTAGCTTTTTAGCGTTGTCCAAAAGACACCGCGAGGCGGTTAGCCGAGTGTTTTCCCGGAAAATTCGCGTGCTTGTTTATACTGGGTGATCATTAACCGACGTTTTTCACGAAAGATCTTACGTGAATTTGATTTGTGTATGTTTTTTTTATAAAAATTATGGAATCGTGTAAGTTTATTCCAACAATGTTTTCAATTTTCATCTCTACTCATTGTACCGGAAACGAGTACACACTTTGGATTTACAAATAACGACCTCCCTTTAGAAATATTTGTATACAATTAATTATCTAGACATAACGCTAATGTTGGATTTACCGTTTATGACTTATAACTGTTTGAAATGTAGACAAGACGAGTAGAGACGATTGATAAATTACATATCCCGTTTTAGACGATAAATTCGTAACTCCATATTCCGAGCGAATGCAATTATTTGATTTTTGATTATTTTTAATATGATTGTTGTATAACATTGATGCGGTAATATTGTGTTTGAAAAAAATGGTTGGGGGATTTAAATCCCGAAACCCTCCCATTATCTAGGCCTCTGGAAATAATGTTTATTATTTCCACTATTAAAATTGTGTTAATTAAGTGTGTTTAAATTGTCAATAGTCATGAATCGATATTATACGTCTTATACATTACCAATATATACGTACAAACGAACAAAGTATCTCCTGACTCGACTAAAAACGAATTGCGCGAAATGCACCAGACTCAATTCAACAACTCAAATATTAGTCTAGGACTAGAGCTGCAAAATATTTTTAAGCCCAGCCCGGTCCGTCGGAGCCCTACGCCGTTATTATTTACGAAACCCAAAATTAATTATAAATTTGAAATTATAAAACTAAGTCCATCATCCAGCCCGGTCAGTTTGTAAAAAATATCGTGCCCGGCTCGGCTGTACGTATTCTAATGGGCTCTACCTGGGACTCGGATTCATTTGTATAGCCTCCAAATCGACTGGTCCGGTCTGTGCCCTTGAAGTGTATTATAACATCGTACGTGTATTAGTTGAAGGGAATCCGAAAATCCGGGTTTTCAGAAAAAAAAAACGCTATTTAGGCCCCTGGAAAATCTTATTAAATATTAAATAAAACAACAAAATACTTTTAAATTCCGGATTCCGGGTTTTCGGATTTCAACAAATCCGATATCCAAAAGCAGTTTAATTTGTTGTGTTTTATTTGTTTTATATTTTCGTAAAATACATTTTACTTAGGTACACAGCTTTACACTGTAAAAGTATTCGACATTAATACGATTTTTAAATGGCATAAATCGGTATTTTTTGTGATAGTCCGGATACTCGGATTCTCCATCACTAATGTGTAAACGACGGTGGTTTTTCTATCGCGCGTGTTTGTCCAACCGTTTAGTCGACATTTCATTATCATTTCGGCCTCGAGGTGTACCACGTGCGCGGTTTCGTGTACACTCAGGCTATATTACATAATATACAGTTTTTTTTTTTCTTTCTATGTTCGAGGCACGACAAAAAGACGGAAAAACGTACTCGGAGCTAGCGCGTTTCGTATTTAAATCCGTGCCCTCGCAACAATAATAGAGTAATGCCATTTAAAAAAAATATTTACGTAATATCATAATATTTATTTTAAGATTAATTTTATAACGGTCGCGCGGCGTTTTCAGTAAGTTTTTCCTTTCCGCAAGGCGACCGAACGTAATAATAATAACAATAATAACGATAATGATAATAGTAAATTGTCGGACGATTAAATCGGACGACCGACCGAATGGAATTTTCATTTTACTCCGCGTAACGTATAAGGGCGCGAAACAAACGGACAGTGAAAGAATTCCATTTTCGGCACAGTTCCGCAACCGGACATTATACGAAACGCGCGCTTGCCGACGACGCGTTCGAGCTTGGCAACGAACCGGTGCACCGCTCACGGAATGTGTTCTCGTACACCGACAATATGTATTAGGAATCGCCAGTGGCGTATTCGGGGCCAGGCCATTCGGGAAAGGGGGAGGGGATCGATCATATTTTTTTTCATAAGAACACACGTGTATTTTTTTTTATTATTATTAATTTTTTTTTATTAAGTTTATTTTCAAACAGTTAACGCGTATAGTAGCTTATTTATTTAATTGGCTACTTTATCGGGTTTGTATGCATTTCTATGGTTTTTTTAAGACAGTTCAAAAAGCAGCTAGACAAGCTACAAGTTTAAATTATAGTTAACAGAACTGAAACACAAAGTTTTATTTTACATATTTTCGCATATTTTACCATTTTTTTGACATGTGCTGCATATTTGTGTATTATACGATTTTCCATTGTATATAAATGATTTTTAAATGCCTAATTATGCAATATTTTCGTTATATTTATATTAGTTTAAAAACAACGATAAAAACAATAAAAATAAAATATTTTTTTTTTTCTTAAATTGTTTTTGTTGTATGCATATGTTTTATTTGAAAGAGTATATTTTTACAAAACAAGAGTACAAATACTTATTTTATAATGCATATTTCTAAGGTTTTTAGGGCATATAAGCCCGGGCCCTAATTATCACTATACTCATACTTTATTTAAAGCAAAAACATAAAATATGTGCGCCTATAGTTTCCTTGACTTTTGAGCGTCTTCGTTTAGATCATCCTCTGGACCTATAAAATATAGGTGCCAACACTTTTACGAACCGCCGACATTGCTTATCCATTTAATCGATTCCGTAAAAGTTGCAGTTGCGTTTGCCGATATTATATTATTATGATCGAAAATCGTTTTGAACAATATAACAAAAAGTAATCGTTCGGTTTTCGTCAAAAACAATTCACTTACTTTTTGTTTCAAAATTATACGAGTGTTACAGAATAAAAGCCAAAGGGGGAGGGATTGGGCGTTCAGATCCGGAGTACGTACTTTTCGTATGCAACGTCTTCCTTTCCATTATCCAACGAAGTTTTACGATTCGTGTATTTATACATTATGTTCTGTTATGGCGGAAATAACTTCCCCCCCCACCCCCGCCCGAACAAAATTCCGTGCGCGCTTTTGGCGGTATACCCGAATTCAATCCGTAAAACTCAATTGAAGTTTATGCGCCTACGGTCGTTCTCCTCCGAACTGGTATCGCCAGCAAAAAAAAGTAACAATAATAATAATAATTAAAATGACTATACGCCCGACAGGCATCGCTGGGTGTATTACACTGATCGCGTTTTCTCGTAAATCACAAAAAAAAAAAAAAAAAATAAAAAAAAATAAAATAAAATGTATACAATAATAATACGTCCCACGTACAAGCACTGCGCAGACTATACTTCCCGAGGCGCAGTGTATACTTGTAACCGTAGGAATCCGGATTCCGGAAATCGGATCTAATAATATACAGCACACTACAGAGTATAGATGCAACTTTAGTGAAATTGAGACGTGGGAGCCGTGGCGGTCCGTCTTGAACCTGGATCATTTTTTTTGTTATATTATTCCGCCGACGATGACGTCACGACGCATTATTTTATTGTACAATTCAATTTAAACAATTCAGCCGAGTCGGTTTGATACGTGAAAACATTTCCCTGCCCCCTCTCGTTTTTTTCTCTCGCAAAATGATAATATTATTCCGAAAAAAAAAAAAAAAAAAAAAAAACAACAACGCGTTTCTCCGTTTCAACAATCGCGTAATTGGATTTTTCTTTAATTTTCAGCGGATTTATTCGGAATAATCCGCGCAGCTCGTTTACAGAACACACATTAAAATATTGACCAAACCGCTTAGGTCTGCAAATCGCATTACCTTGTAGATTGAACAAAATATTTTACGAAGCCCTTTGGAATTTTCACTACGTTTTGTAGGGGGGGGGGAAACCAATAATTAAACCCGTGTTTTTCTCATGAACATCAGTTTTAAATGGGAATGAGCGAATACGCAAAGATATTATAAAATATAATGTTATATTGATAAACGTTATCGGTATAATACATATACAATAATAACAACAAAACTGTCCTCTGACAAATCCAATCGTCTCTCTAGATGACATCAATTGTTATTAAATTATTCGCCCATCGTTTCTATAAGATATGTATATATCTATATACAGACAAATGCCGGAAAAAACGCAAATCACCGTATTGCAGTAGTAAAGAGTAGAGAATTTTTAGGAACATTTTAGTTTTCCAATTCTTTCGATTGATTTTTGTGCCAAGTGTTTCAAGTAAACCCGAGTAAAATATTAGGCGCGTTGTAAATTAATACATTTTGTTTTATTAGGTATGTTGATACGTTTAGCGGACAGTCTTGGAGTTTTGTGCCTCCTCGCTTTGGTGGCGCACGTTTTCTGAGGCCGAGATACGGATACGACGCCTTTGTGTTATCTGACCGTTTTTTTTTTAAACGTCATGGGTGATTTTATTACAGTATAATAAGTTATATGACTTTGGTGATGTTTTAAATACATTTTTTTTTATGGAATGAAAACAAAATTTGTTGATGTTACGCCTTTTTTGTTTTGTTTCGAACGCCCTCAGTGTGTAACGTTTAATTTGAAAACTTAATCTAACAAATTACACAGAGCAGTTTTCTCGACGCGCGGTCAGCGTCAATTTAATTGTTATTATTATTACAATTGCGTTTAATTAGTAAAAAAAAAAAATTAAATTACCGAGGACCGCCTAATGAAAAAAAAATATTACTATTATTATTTTTTTTTTTAAATACGATAATTATTACGCACTATTTACCGAACCGTAACAACATCCGCTTCTTATGTGAACATTCGAAAATGTTCTGTTATTTTTTCAAGACTTAATTTTAGACATCAAGGTCGCACGTAGATTGAACTTTCGAACGCATATCGTATGACAAATATAAACGGCCGCGTCCAAACTCGTCTTACATCGGAAATACCGGGAGTCGTCGACCAATCACATTGGATAATTATTGAATTATGTATCTGTAATAGTAAACCGTAGCCAGAAGAAGAAACGCGATTATTTTGATCATACAGAAAATTACCAGTTTGTTCCGATATTTTTGGAAACTAGACAAATGACCTCCTCGTTACGCCGACCGGACCGATAATTGTACAAGAAAGTTCTCGTTAAGTTTTCGATTGAAACGAGATTTCTATAGTAGAAAATCCGCTTACAGACGCATAAAATAAACCCAATACTGAAGACGGATATGGAAAGTGTGGAACGTATAGGATGCATAAAATTATTTCATTTATATCTGTACGCGAGACTCAACGATAAACGATTCGAGTAACCTAATAAAACCTAAACAAATAGCTCGAAAACCGTCGTAATATTTTTGAAAATTGGACCGCTTCTAGAAAGGTACAATGCAAGTGTTCTGTAAAATATGCAGGTCTCTACGAACGTTTTTTTAACCGAATCGGAACAAAAACGCGAAATCGATAACCGTTTGTGCCGTAAACTTTTCCAGTTTTTCCCACGCTTTTTAACCGAAAACGAAAAAAAAAATACCGCTGTCTTAATGCCGGTCTTAACTGGAACCGAAACGCGACAAAACGGACGTTTTGCGATTTTTCTATTGGCGCTAGACAGACGGAAAATAAACAAACACACACGCACGCGCACGCCGTGATAAAAACGATTCGCTTGGAATTTTGTAAAAAAAAAAAAAAAAAAAAAAAACCAACGGCGAGTATGACAATAATTACGGTCGATAGTACACGCGGGTCGCCAGGTTCCGCGACCAACGTGTAAACGGGCGAACGTCGCGGGCAATGATCGCGTCCAAACGCGACGACCGCAATAATAATATTCTATTATGCCCCTCGGACAGAGCCGCGTTAACGAGTTCTTTTTTCGATTTGTAGGTATTTGTGTTTGTGTTTTTGTTTTGTTTTGTTTTTTTTTTTTCGTTTCGGTTACGAAATTATAATAATTTATCTCGGCGTGTACTTACGAAAAATCGTTACGAACGGAAAATAAAAAAAAAATAACCCGCCTTAATTGTCGGGGACCCGTGCGTTGCGTAACCGCGCCGTTCTCCGCGGCTCCCCGGCCGTTCCGTTCCCCCGCCCAGAACGGTACACGAAAAACGCGCGGACGCAATAACGACGGACGCGTCTCGAGCGCGGCGTGTGTGTTTACAGTAAAAAAAAAAACAAAAAAAAAAAACGAAAAAAAAACAGAGTACGACGCGCGTGTTTCCCCCCCCCCCTCCCCCTCCGTTTCTCTTCGCGCAGACGACTTTTAATGCGTGCGGGTCGGGCGTATTTCACGGGCGCGTTTCGACTGCCCGGCGGCTATGCGCTCCGCCGGTAATCGTTTCGACGACGACGACGACGACGATAATAATAATATTACGTAACGGGTTTTCCGAGCGGCGCGAACAACGCCGGGGACGGCGCTGACGTATTTTTCGTGTTTTTTTTTTTGTTTTTTTAATTTTTTTTACGTCCGCGATAACGAACGCGTTTCAAATCCGCGCGTCCGCACCTCCGATTATAACCGGCGCGCGCGCAACTCGTCCGCCTCGTTTTTTTTCCCCCGTCGCCCCATCGTTTGGCGCGCGTCGCGTTACAGGCACGCGTGCCCGGGACCGCGGAGGCGCATCGACGGCGTTATCAGAGTTCCGAATTCTACCGAATTCCGCGTTACGGTCGAACGCTGTCCGCGGCGAAACACTCGGTTCGTTCACCGAACTTTCGGCGATCGCGTCGCGGCGTTCCGAAACCCGTACGCGGCACTCGCGTTTCGGCGTTGCGACGGGTCGGCCGATTTCGATTTTCGAAGAGCGACCTTTGCGGCGGAAAATTCCACAAACACCGTTTGAAATCCCCGGGAGACATTTTCTCGATCAGCCGAACTAACCCCGTGAAGTTGGTTGAAGTTAAGTGACCCCGCCCGATGGCTCATTCGAAACATTTTTTCGAAATTCCCAAAAAATATTTCCGAAAAATCGCGTTTGTTACGCGAATGAAATGCTTCGATTTGTTCGACGTAATACTACGAAAAACGAACGGTATTTATTGTTATCGATTCTGGGTCATTTTTCTTTTCATACCGCAATCAATACTTACTACACCGCTCGGAATCGCTGTCCGATTGCAATCGTTTATCGTTGTTTTCGGTGTTTAAATTAAATCATCCTTTATCCGGCTATATGATACACGTCCCAAGCCCGCCACTCAAAGCTACAGTGGCCAATCATGGTTCATGGTACGTTAGGCTTTTTATTATTGTTAATTTTTTGTTCTCTAATTCTCGAAACGAATTAAATAATAAAACGCGTTTTGTGTAAATATACATCTAATAATGTTAATAACGGGCCATAAAACGTACCTGCTTTAATTTCCCCGTTTGTCTCAAGCGGAACGTTACAGAACAATACTGTTACCTACATATTTTCGTCCTCCGAAAACAACGACTTTCCGATTGAATTTAAGACGTTTCGACGCCATTATTGTTCGCGAAAAAACAATATTGCCATTGCCGCATAATCCGTGATGGTAACGGTTCTCATAAATATTTTCCGTTTTCGTCGAACCGTCCGGGTGCGTTTTGATTTCCGTTGGATTTTTAAACCGCGTCGCGACAATGAACGGCTTGTGCAAATTACGTTTTCGAATAGACAAAAACAATATCATCTAACAAATACCCGATGCAAAAAATGTGTCCGTTTTATCTGCAGTTTTTATTATTTATTTGAATCTGCGCAGCTCCGAAATACACCCAGGTCGATCCGACGTGTGGTCCACGCAAATCAGTGATAGGTTAAAACCCTACAGTAGCGTGTCGAGTTATTTTTACCCGAGCGGCTACGATTCGTATTTACCCACTCATTTTATTTGAAAACGCCTATACCAAAACGTAATATACGCGTCGTTCCGTAAGTGCGTTATGCCGTTTTAAAATTTCCTTTTTCACTAAAATACTTATTTGATTATTAATTGTCTAATGTTATTACGCAGTGTAATTCACACACACACACACACACACACACACACGTTATTATTCGCACACGTTAGTCGGAAAACGACCGTGTATGATACATGTAGATCGCACGCAATGGTGTCAACGTAGCCATTTCAATATATTTCAATTGACCGAGACAGACTCGTCAAATTAGCCGACTGGCGTGTGACGAGGGATAATCGCATTAAATAAGAAAACAGCGTTTTCAAGTTTCGTATTCGAACTCGTCGAAAAAAAAATAAACATAATTTCCTCATTTTTTGGCATACGGTTATGTACGGTTATTAACCTAACCGACCATCTCAACGGTTCGCCACGAACGCATCAATTTCTCGCGCAGTGGCATATTTGAGAAATATATCTCTCCCCCCCGCCCCCCTTCGGTCGTGATTTATGTTTTATTTATATCGGTATTTGTTTTTTAAATTCAAATTTCTTTCCTCCTGACAAATCGTACATTTTTTGGTATCTATATATTTTGAATTAATATACCGAAAACGCCCGAACATATACGTTTTCTAGGTTAATGCAAGACCTATTCGAATCGTTACATTAATATAAAGGAAGTTGGTTGTTTATTGCTTTATTTCTAGTTATTTGATTTCAGTGATAATGTTAGAGCAGACTGAACTATCAATTATACTTATAAAAATAAAGTAATTAAAAAATTAGTTTTTTTTTTTTTTTTCAAAGACCGAGTACATTTGATTATTATGCAAAACACCACACGATTTCGAAATTCAATACACCCTCTACGGCAAAATCCCGAAAACGCCACTGTTTCGATTGACACTAATTTAGACATTGCCAATATTCGGTTAACAGAAGCGATCGTCAATTCAATCGCTTTTATGTACGTATATTTACGAAATAAAAACAAAAAAACCGGCACTTGAGTGGAACTCGGTTCCACTCTTGTATACTATTTTACGTGTCAATGGGACGTCGCGATCACGTGATAAGTTGTCACGTTATCACTGGTAATGAGCACTGGTCTCGTGGACGTGATGTTAACATTTTAAAATAAATATAAAAATGTTGCCTTCGCCTTCGTCCCGAACCAGCTACTCTTATTAGTCTTATTATCGCCTATCGCTATGCCATTTTTTCGTCTGCTCCGCGTGCCCTTATATCTCCTCTAGCATTTTCCTCCGAACCCTTTTACACAGCTTTCACTCATCGCGCCTATACGGCCAGGCGTGTCCATGCAGTCTATTAGTTTCTATATACCTACTTAGATAGTATGAGTAGTATCTCATAAATTCTCAGTCTCTTGGCACGTCCATGCCATCATCTTGTAATCTATAATCCTGTCTCTACTATAAGGACTATTAAAACTAAA